ATTTGTGTATGTTGAACCATCCCTGCATCCCTAGAATGAATCCTACCTAGTCATGGTATGTAATCTTCCTGATGATTTTCTGCATTCTGTTTGCCAATATCTTATTGGGGATTTTTGCATCTGTGTTCATTAGGGAGATTGGACTGTATTTTTCTTTTTTGGTTAGGTTCTTCTCTGGTCTTGGTATCAGGGTAATCCTTGCTTCCAGGAACGATTTTGGAAGTATTGCTTCCCTCTCAATTTCATTAAAGAGTTTCAGAATTAGTGGCATTAGATTGTAGAATTCAACAGTGAATCTATCAGATCCTCGGCTTTCTTTTGTTGGTAAGTTTTTAATTACATTTTTAATTTCATTGACAGATATTGAGTTATTTAGAATATTTATATCTTCTTGATTCAGTTTTGGCAGTTCTTCTGTGTTTTCCATCTTATTATGTAGATACTTTTGTGGGGTACATCAATATGGATTTGAGAATGTTTTCTCTTAGGGCTTGAAATATCTCACTCTAAGCTCTCCTTGATTTAAGGGTTTGTGTTGAGAAGTCTGTCATGATTCCTTCATAAGTGATTTTTTTTTCTTTTCTCTAACTGCTTTTTTTTTGTACCAGGAATCAAACTCATGACCTTGTGTTTGCCAGGCAGGCACTTGTGCCACTGAGCTATATCCCTGGCCCTCTAACTGCTTTTAATATTTTGTTCTTGTGCTGAATTTCTAGAATTTTGATTATTATACGCCTTGGTGTAGATTTATTTTCATCATGGATTTTTGGAGTTTTACATGCTTCATTTATTTGTATGTCACATTCTTTACTCATGTTTGGGAAATTTTCTGCATTATTTCTGTGAAGATGTTTTTTATGGCATTTACCCTGTCTCAGGTTTTCTTATTGACTCCAATAAATCTTATGTTGTTCTTCTTTGCTTCATCCTTATAGGCTTGGATTAATTTTTTACAGTCTTTTACTATTTTTAAGGTATCTTTTCATGGTTGCTAGCTGCAATCCAGTCTTCTAGCTCTCATATTCTATCCTTAACTTCATTGAATCTGTTGCATATACTTTCAATGGAGATTTTAATCCCCTGGATTTATTTGGATCTGTTTCATAGATTCCATTTCTTTCCTATGTTGGGCATTCATGGTTTCTTTCATTTTCCCAAGTTTTTCAATTTTTGAAAAATCTGTGTCTGCTCTAATATCTTTCAGTTTGATCATTTCATTTTGTACCTGAGAAATTAATTTTTCTATAGCATCTTTCATTTGTTTTTTCACTTCTGTTGCAATCATTTCAGAAAGTTCTAGTGATTGGATTTCAATATCTTCTATCTCATTGTGCTCTAGACTTATCCTGGGTGGGCTGGGAGTCTGGGGTTGCATTTTGTTTCTGTGTCTTGTCATTTATTATTTTATTTTGTTTTCTGTGTTGATGCTTGCCTTTTTTTTATCACTAGTATCAAGGCTTCCCTAGGAAATGTCTGTTTCTCAGGGATGTCTTCTAGATGTAGGTGGTTCTTGATCTTTATGTCTATCCCAAGAACCTACTTTCCTAATTTGTTAAGGATGAGAAGTTGCTATCTCTTTGGCTCAGCACCCAGTACTTTGGTACTGGACTATGGTGATGGTTATGACCCCATGCAATCATAATGTTATCACACAAGGGAGAAAACTGATTATAATATGCATGACATCATGGCTAAAGTATTACAGTTGGCAATAACAATAGCATCAAGTACAGCCTCTCTACTGACAAACTGTGGTAACCATTAACCTGATACCTTTAACCACAGGAGCAAATTCTACAGTTACATAACAAAATCCAACACATATCAGCAACTTGTATGCAATGATTTTCCCCTTAGTGCAGTGATTGTACCCTGTTGTGGGGAGGGGAGATTCAAGAGGGATAGGGGACAAGATAGATGAATGACATCAAATATAGTAGGAGCACGGCTGGAGGGCAAAGAAGGATCACCCAAGTTTTGGGAAACTGGAGGACACAGGAGAGAAAGAATGGAAGAGAAAGCAGAGGAGTATTGAAGTGAACCAGAAAAAGAAGAGGCAGTGTTCACACACATGGAAATATCATAAAATTAAGAGATAGTGAAGGAATGAGAGAAAGAAGATGAGCAGAAGACAACAAAGAAATAAGAAACCTAAATAGTGAAAAAAGAGAAAAAACCAAAAAGCAAAACAGGTGGTGGGCATGGCATTGGGGGCATGAATAAAAAAAAAAGCAAAACAAAAATAACCTCAAGCACCAAACCAAACCAAACCAAACCAAAACAAAACCCTAACTAGACAGAAAAGGGATAACAAATCAAAGAGAAATGAAAGCAATGCAATTGCTCTGGTGTCCTCAGTTCTGTGGTAGTCCAAGTTGGATCCCAGAAATGCCCTCTGTACTCCAGCCAAGCTCACAGTGGGATTTGTGCTGGACAGGGGCTGATGTCTGCCAAATCTGCCATGTGCTGGGTGTGGCGGCTGGGACTGGTCTTCTGCTACTGGAGCTCTGTAGAGCCGTTGGGTATAGAACGGCAGCCCTGCCTGCTTCTGTTCTGGCTCTGTGTGGAAGCACAAGCTGGCTCACCTAACTCACCAACTGCTGGCTCACATTCTCACTGCTGCCTCAGACTTTTCCACACCGCTGGTCCTGCTGCCAGTGTGTGCACCCATGCCCCAGCCTGCTGTCTCTGGTCCCACTGCTAGCATGTGTGCCTTGCACCCGGCCTGCTCTCTCTGGTCCCACTTTCTTCATTCAATTTGAATATACTCCAGTTATACCTTATCTGACTCACATACCTGAGGCTGTTTTTCTTGAAGTCATTAATAATATTTTTGTGGCTAAATCAGATGGTCCTCATCTTACTTAGCTGGTTGACAACTTCTCATGAAGTTGTTATGGTTTGTGTCTGGATGTCTGCCCAAAGCCTCAAGCAATCATGGGGCAACTTCTAGAGTTTATGATTGATCCGTGGTCCAGTGCTGGGATTATGGGTGTGAGTGCTACACCCGCCCTGGGGTGGGTAGTCTGTATACAACATAAGGGGTGGGAAAGAGGCCTGCTCTCTGCCACTCCCCCCTTTTCGCTCTTGCTGCTTTTGCTGCTGTTGCCCTCTGCCATGTGCCTCTCTGCCTTGGAGCCAGCTGACTATGGACTGAAACCTCCACAAACTGTGAGCTAAATAAACCTTTCCCTCTTTAATTTTGGATGTCAGGTATTTTGTCCTAGCAATGAGGGAAGAGTAACCAAGACAGAAGTTAATTACTTTGTCCTTAGAAACATTTTTTTGTTTTCCTGTTCACCTCCCTCTCTTGTGTTTTTTTTTTTTTCTGGTACCGGAAATTGAACTCATGACCTTGCACTTGCCAGGCAGGCACTGTGCCACTGAGCTAAATCCCCAGCCCCTTCCCTCTCTTGGTTTTCCTGCCACCTCATGGGGGGGCCACTGACTTTCAGTGTCCACTACTTAGTTTTCCTCCTGTATTGTACAATTTCTGAAAGTACCCAGGGCCCAATCCTTAGATTTCTCCTTCATTTATACTCACTCTCTTGGTGATCTTAGCTGAGAAGACAGTATTTTATATATGTTTATATGTGCATCTTTATCTCCCTGCATCTACCTACATCTCTCATATGCAGTCAGGACTCCCCGAGGACAGCATGTCTCTGTGTCTAGACAGACTGTCGGGGGTCTGGTCTCAGAATGAAACTCAGAGATTACTTATGATGCTACCGCAGTCCTGGTAGCGGTGAAGGGTGTGCTCAATGGTCGCAGTCTGGTTGCAGGTTTGAAAGTAGAGACAACAGATGTGCTGATGGACACAGACTATTAGGGGGAAAAAGGTCAAGTTCAAGGCTTCACTTTTGGATGACTGAGATGAATGTTGGCTTCAAATATACCTGCTGAATTGACAATTTGGGCATGTGAGGACATCTACTGCATGAAATCAGGAGCTCTGTTGTGGCTGAGCCTGTGTCTTGTTCATTGCTGCGTTTAGCATGGTACTGGCATGTAGTAACTACTGTATATTTATTGTTGAGTGCAAGATGCTTCCCACGGTCATTTTATTGTGACCCACATCTGGAGAACTCATCAGCTGACTCTTTTCCTCCTGTGTCAGGGCCCCAAACTTCACAGTACTCATGACACTGATGCAATGCACTGTCTAGACTACTTGCAACTAAGATTGATTTTTCATTGTGAACTAAACACCATTAAACCAAAACTCGAGCAACCAAAGGACCCCTTAGTTAAGCTCATATCTGATGGATAGTGGTTTATCAAGTCATTACGCACACTAGCCAGGCAAAGAAAGAACGAGTACCAGGCACAAGTTTTCACAAGTTCTAGCAGCAGGGTAGGTAACAGTTGGAAAATGGCCATTGGACCAGAACTAAGTGCACTTTTAAAATAAACTTTGAGAAAGAAAATACTGCAATGTAATTGGCTACAGATAAGAGAGGTGGGGTAGCATGAAGCAGGCAGCCTTTTGGGGTGAGAGTTGTCTATAAGGACAAATATTTGTTGCTTCTAGATTGGTTGGGGCTAAGAGTTCCCAAACTTTATGTGTAAACAGGGCATGATGATGATGGGATTTAAATCAAGCTCAACCTTAACAGTCAATTTGTTCATTTAGTTTGTAGCTGATGACTGAATTTCCCTTATCTCTTCTTCACTCTAATCTCAGCCTTTGTAATTAAATTTAGGACATCTCAGAATGTTTCTTTTATGGCTGCTATCCTTGGCCCTAGGGATATGAGACATGCAAAAGAATTTGGTGGCCATGGATGGTAAATTTTGGAATTCACTCCCTACCTTTATCTTCACTGTACTTTACCCAGAGGGACTTCCTTAGCATATTCCTTCATCTGCAGTTGCTGTGAAATACTGACCCATCTGAATGAATGGGTTAAACTTCTGTGGACAGAATTCACTTTTTAGCCTAATTCAGGACTTCTTTTACCAAAGTACAATGGGGACAAGGAGGACACAGACAGCTCTTTGTTTAGAGATATAGGGTATATTTCAGGGGGCACTCTGCCCCTCCTGTTTTTTAGTGGAAATGGCAATAGTGCAGCTCTTCAAAGGAGACAGAAATTGGGAGGTGTAGAAATGCTTAGTCAATACTCTGAGTGTTCTCCTTGGGCAAGAAAATGTTTCTGAGGTAAGGGATGGGATTAAGGGCGGTTGCCCTGATTGGAGGGCACAGCCACTCCAGGACAATGCCTAGGACAGTGGTGGGGGTGGCCTGGGACGGAGGCAGATCCACGCAGCTGGGAGCGTAGCCGGAGCTTACTGTGTGGGGAATGGGAAACATCCGATGAGGCCAGGCCCACCGGCCTCTCTGTGGGGAGCGATGGGTTCTTGGGGCTCCTCCCTGGTGTGTCAGTCCTCGTCTTCTCCGTGGGGCTTTTGGCTGGAACCAGCCTCCTTTCCACATTTTCCTTGCTGGTGTTGGCCGCCTTGCCAGGTGTGGACAACATGGAGTCCGCGTGATTTTTGTCTTTTGTCACGGCGCTGATGTAGTGCACAAAGAATTTCATCTTACTCACCAAGCCAGACTCTGGAGGGCTGGGCCTCTTGTGAGAACGGGCTGGCGTCACCTGCCCCTGCAAAACCCGACTTTGCAAGGTTTGGCCCTTGAAAGGCTTGTGCGGAGTCGGTTGGCCCGGGAAAGGCTGGCCCTGGGAAGCCTGGCCCACTGCAGGATGGAAATTCTCAGGGACCTTCGCAGGTGTGAGGAGGGCACTGACGTTTCTTCCATGGTCCTGCATGTCGTGCTCAGATTCTTTTCTCCCAGGGAGCTCTGTAGGCGGCTCTGCAAGCTTAAGCTGAGGGTGGTACTGGGGAGTGTGTTGCTGGGGATCCACAAGAAGACAGCTGTGGGTCCATCGCCAGGAGCCTTGGGGTCTTCTCTTCAGAAGCATCTCTTCTGGCTTCTGCTCTTCCTCAGGGTGTCTTTCTGCACTGGTTAAGGAGTGTCCAAGCCCTGCATCCCCTTCTCCGAGGTCCCCTGCTGCTTGGGGTTTCCCTGCCTCCTCTCTCTTTCCTGCCGGCGTGGGGATGTGGGCTGAGCCCTTGCCTGCGCGTTGGGGCTCAGGGTCCCAGTGTTCCCCCAGGCCGGGGCTGTTTACAGCGGCCTCCACCTGAACACAAAGCACCTGCGCCTCAGTCACGTCCCCGCTGACCTGTGAGATCTCGGAGGGCTGGTGGCTAGGAGCAAGGGGCGCTGCTTCGGAACCAGGTGGCTTTGGGCTGTGCCGCAGCGTCTGCAGCTGAGAGGCCGGGTGTTCTTCCAGGTGGACACGCTCTGAATGTGGGGCAGGCAATGAGTCTGGCGGGGCGGGCAGTTTCTGGAGCACTGTGCTTCCTTGCTTGTTTTGACTAGTCAGACGTGCCCTTGAGGACTTGTTCTCTGGGCCCGCTGTAGTTTGTTCCCGGGACTCCCTTGCCCGTATGGGGAGTCCCAGTTTTATCTCTAGGACCTTTTTTCTCAGGTGGAAGTGCAGCCTGGACACCAATCGCGTCTTGAACGCGTGGAGGATGGCGGGATGTGTCTGGCTCTCCGGAGGCGCTGACTCCATTGTTCCTTCCCTCTGCACCTCAGGCTGGGAATCTGTGCTGTCTGCCCGAGTCTCGCTGTCATTTTGAAAGCAGGGCCCAAGCCTCCTACTTGGGTCTTGCGGTGTTGTAACTTGAGCCAGAGGCTCCTTTGGGGCTTCCACTGGCCCTGGCGCCATCCCTGCTGCTGGCGAGTGGCTAGCGATGGCTGGAGCCGTCACTTCAGACAGAGCGGAAGAGTAAAGGGTGGGCAGTCCCGACAGGAAGACGAGGTACTTGTGTCGCACGGTCATCTCCAGCCTCTCCATGGCTGCCGAAGTCAGGGCTCGGTGCAGCTTAGGGCGTCCAGCGGCAGTGTCTGGTGAGGCCTGCTTTTGCTGACCAAGGGCCCTTGGCCCCCAGGGCGTAACTCGGTCATGTAGGTCGGAGTCGCTGGCTGCCTGCAGCCCCCGGGGCTGGCCTTGTGGAACGCAGGGGAAGGGAGCCACTGCTACGCCCCCAGGAGCTGTGCCTTCCCAGGAGCTAGATACATGGCAAGGGACCATGCCTTGGTGGATCTGTCCACATTTGGAGTCAATGTGGCCCTGCAGTTTGGCCTTGGCCTGGGTGAGCAGGTGTGGCATGGGGAGTGACATTTGGGCCAGCATGGGTGAGAAGGGGTCGCCATCCCCCGTGCCCTTCAGGGCCGTAGGGTGGGGGATCTGCACCCTGGGGAAGGTTGTGCTGCTACAGGGCAGGGTCTGCTGGTCAGCAGAGGAGAGGAGCAACTGGAAGGACTGCTGGATCTTCTCGGGCAGGCCCCAGCGAAGGCGAATCAGCTGCTTCTGGAAGTGAAATTCCAGCAGCCTGTGGGTGTGCTCTGGGAAGAAGGGTAGTTTCCTGGTGAAGACTGAAACAGGCTTCCCTGGCCAGGACGTTTGCACAGTCTCGGGAGCCTGGGCTTCGTCACAGGGCTCAGACTGCTTGGGGCTGTGGGCATGGCAACATCTCTGGATGATAGCTGGCAGCCCCCACCGAAGCTGGAGCTGCCTCTGCAGCAGGTGCCATTCCAAGGTTTTATATTCAGCTGGAGTCAGAAATGGGGCACTGACGTGAGCTTCTGGATGTCCAGCTGGAGACACACGATTTGGAGACAGTGGCGAGGAGGGCAAGCATACGTCTGGTGGCGTTTCCGGCAGCAAAGGGTGGAAAGAGAGCCCCTGGAGCAGAAGAGGCTCCTTCGATGGGGGCCTGGACGTGTTTGTGTTCGTGGCGAGGCCTTCAGAGCTCAAGAAAGAGGCAGTCAGGGACTCACTGTGCAGAGAGGGGAGGCCACAGAACAGCTGCCTGTGTTTCTGGTGCAGATGGCTCCCGGGGTCATCAGCCTGTCCCCCAAGTGGTAGACAGAGGCCAGTGAAGACTTCAGCAGGTGGAGAGGGCAAGGCTAATGTATCATAGTTTTGGACTTGCTGGTAATAGTGTCTTTGTTGTGGTTTTGTAGAAGACCACTCAGAAACCCAGATAGACTGAATGGGCTCTCTGGTTATGTATGAACACCAGGTCTGTTGGGCAATGATCCCAATTTTGTCACAAGCAACCTTAGAAGTACTATTCAGAATGGAGGAAAGTTGTAAGTTTTTTCCAATTTTGCTAAACAATATTGCGTCTGGCATAAGCTGCCTCATAAAGGAGTCCTCCACACGTCTGGGGAGACCCCACATCTGGAAATGCTTCCTTTTTTTTACATGTCCCTCCAGAAGCCTCAAAACTTTAGGCCTGAAGAATGGCAGGTGCGCTGGAAAGACTGAGTCCACATGCAAGGTCATAGGACGTGTCAGGTTATCTGGGAATTCTGGATGCAGTGATGGTAAGGAGACCCGGCACTTCACATGATGCTGCCTTTGGTTCCCCTGCACAAGGTTAGGTTTATTCTGCATCATCTCCTGCCCACTTACTGGAACCATAGGTTCCTGAAGCTCAGAAGAATCCCTACTCTCTTGGACCACGGGTGTATTTGCCCATTGAAATTCCTGTCCTCGCTGGAGATGATCCGTAAAGTACTCTTGGATACTGATGTCATCAATTGTCGGGGTTAAATCTTGTTCCATCTGTTGTGATAGTGCCGGGGTTGCGGATATCCGTAAGAGGTCTCTGGAGCGCTGAGGATGAGGTTCCCGATTCTTCTCAGAAGACACAGTTGACATGGACATCATCTGTAGGTAAGAAGAGCCCTGCAATGGCCCTGATAAAGTTGGGGAAACCTGGCTCTTCTCATCCTCCAGCAGCTGCTGAATCTCCAGACACACAGCGTTGCAGGTCTGGCAGGAAGGATCTGCACACAGGAGCTGCCGCACACTTTCCTGCTGGGGAAGCCAGTGCTGGCTGGGAAGGGAAACACGATTGTTAATGATGTGGAACATCTGCCTCTTTGGAAGAGTGTGGTATGGGTGTTGCTACTGCCCCCCACAAGTCCTATAAATCCTGAATCTGCACTGTAGGAAATGAAGTCTTCATGAGAACTTTGCACTATGAGAACTATGACATCACTCTGCTACTACACCTAGAATTTGTTGGAAATCAAACTTTTTCTCTAGAAATTTTAAGAAGAAGACAATAGACTTCTGTGTGAATGTTTTCCTAGGAACTGGCCTCTGTGAAGCCAGAGCAGGACCCTGCTGGACCTGGGAGTCTGCCCCTGACAGAGTATAGCTCAAAGAGAGTCTGACAGTGATGACTTCTTTATGTAAAATCCATCCTCTTGACTGGATAACCTGTCTCACGGCTGTGTGAAAACCCAGGAGCATTTTCCATGAATTGTGCATCAGTCAAACCCTGAACTGCAGAACTACTGTGACCCCAGCAAGTCACAGAACCGAATGACTTCTGCCTTCTCGGATGTCTGAACGCCCTCGGCCCCGGCACCTTTCCTAATCAGTGAATCACCCCTACAGTGTCTGTCTTCCTCCCAGCCACTGCCTCCTTTTTCTGAGACTAGGCCAGGCCAGGCCAGGCCAGGCCAAGAAATCATCACAGGCCCGCCTGGGAGCTTGGAGACTGCAAAGGGAAAGAGATCACCTTTTCATGGTAGAGAGCAGATCCCACAGCTTCTTTGCTTCTTTCCTGGGACATCTCTTAGCTGTTTGAGGAAACAGGACAGTGTGTTATACGCCATCAGAGTGTTGTAGGGGTGTCCATAGGAAGCTGACTAGTAAGACTGAAAACACAGAGTCACTGCTCTCAGGCATGTTTCCATATATTACCTTTTACAACATGATGTCCCTTACTAATTTCATTGGATCTTCATAACTACAATGTGAGGGAGGGATTGTCAGTTATAGCTATTTTACGGATAAAACTGCAAGATGAAGGGTCATCAAACTAACAGATCACACAGGTAAGGACATCTGCCTCACTCCCTCAATTCTTTAATCTCAGGGGAATAAGGCAGGGAGTTTTGGAAGGTTCCCACATTCTGAGTTTCCTTCCACCCAAGTCCTCCATGACAGTGATCCATTTGGAGAACTGAAGCTCCCCCAGCTCCTGGTTCTCCTGGCACCAAGGGTCCCAGAGGGACATGGGCAGTGGGAAGCTGCACTGCAGTGGGAGGGGGCAAGAAGCAAATCGGGATGTTACCTCTTGATGCTGCATCTCTTGCCCTTTGCCTGATTTTTCGGTGACACTTGAAGAAAAAACAGAATGTGAAGCTGGAGTGTCATTTCTTTCATATTCAAAATGAGACAAAGTGAACACATTTCCCATTCCCCTTCTATGTATTTGTCTGCATTTTATCCACTCTCCTGCGCTTCCTTCTCCTACATTCCACTTTTCACCCCAGTATTTCCCTGCTGTGCCTATTTCTGATTCACTCTGAGGCTTTCCATTCTTCGGCTTCCCATTACGTCCCACCCTCACCACAAGTTATGCGGGGAGATTGGGATGACGCGGGTGAAATGGTAGAACAGATTAAAGAATGAGTGCTTCTATCCACCCAAGGGCTTCTGCTTACAAAGTCCAACTAGAAAAATCCCCTCTACTGGGAGGTCTTCTGAGATCTCTAAGTTATACTTTATCTTATCTTGTTTTCAACCCAAACCAAACAGAGTTCTTGGCTTTTTAACTAGAATTCTATACAGAGGTAAATGAAGGTGTGGTATGAAAGTGGGGGTAGGTGGGAGAAACACTGAGAATTTCAAGCTTAAACTAGTTCAGTTGTGGTCATGGTGTTTCCCTACCCGGCAGCAGTTCCTTTTGGGTTTAAATCTCAATCCATAGTAACTCCGTTTCACTTGCCAGATAAGTAGGATAATGATAAAGATGGAGCCATAGCTATATAAGAGGTATCCAATATTCTCAACAACCAGTGAAGGGGTCAACATGGCCTAACCCTCATTAGCACGAGGAGACCAGCCATCCCTCTATGTAGGCATTCAGAGTTCCAGTGACTAAGGGTGCTGGGCCTTGTCACGTCCGCCTCGCAGAGGGCGGAACCAGGTCACCAGACTGCGTCACAAAGCCTTTCTGTTTCCTGGGAGACGCTGATGTGATGACGCACTCTGTAGCTGGGGGTTTCTGGTCACCTGTAAAAGTGATATAACCTGCGTCTAGAGGCTCCACACTCACAAACTGAATCTGTCCCCCACTTCTGTCCACTCTCCGCTGCCCACACCAGCCTGTTGCCTCAGGTACCACCTTCACAGTTGCCTGGTCACCAGCCCTCAGAAACCTGCATGCTTTTTAAAGTTAATTAAGCTTATTGGTACATTTTAGGTATCCATAATGATCACATTAATCATAGGGAGTTTGTACCTGTACATGATATAACTTGATTCTTTTTTTTTTCCTATTCCTCTACCCTCCCTTCAGCCCCTTTCCCTCCTTATTTACAAAAACTTTGTTTCCACTTTTTCTTTCTTTTCTCATCATTTTTTTTCCTCTTCCTTCTTTCCTCCCTTCTCTATCCATAGTTCCCCTTCCCATTTGAATATAGATCCTATTTCACAATATCTATTATGCATTTTGGTCCTTATTTCTTACAACAGAGAAACAATGCAGTTTTTACATGTGTGTCCAATTTATTTCACTTAAGGGTATGGCCTCAAGGTGCATCCATTTAGCTAGAAATGTCACAAGCTTATCCTTTATGACAGAGTAGTACTTAATTGTAAAAAAAAAAAAAAAAGATCTCCTTTACCCATTCATCAGCTGATGGATATTTAGGCTGTTTCCAAGATTTAGCTATCACAAACTGTGCTGCTATACACATGGGTGTGCATATATTACTGTGGTATGATGCTTTTAATTCTTTTGGGAAGATACCAAGAAGAGGAATAGCTGGATTGAATGGAACCTGTAGTCCAAGTTTTTTTGCAGACTCTCCACACTGATTTCCACAGTGGTTGCACCAGTCTACACTCCCACCATCAGTGGAGAAGGGTTCCTTTTTCCCATGGTCCTGCCAGCAATTGTTATTGGTGGATTTCTTGATTATAGCCATTTTTTCTGGGGTGAGATGGATCTCTGCATTGTTTTAATTTTCATTTCTCGAATGACCAATGATGTTGAACAAGTTTTCATGTATTAATTTGCCATTTCTACTTCTTTATCTGAGAAGTGTGTATTCATCTCAGGTGTCCATTTTTGGATTGGGTCTTTAAATTTGGGAGGGTCTGATTTTTTTGGAGTTCTTTATGTATTTTAGATAGTAATCCTTTGTCTGAAAAGCAGTTGACAAAAATTCTTTCCCAGAGACACTGTGGGTTGTCTCTACTCTGTTGGTGGTTTCTCTTGCTGTGCAAAAGTTTTTTAATAAGATGAGATCCCAGTTGTTGATCCTTTGTGATAGTTAATGTGCATTTGGGGTTTTGTTCTTAAAGTCTTTGCCTAACCTATGTCTTCAAGAATTCTACCTGTACTATCTTTCAGCAGATTTAGTGTTTCTGTTTTAATACTTGGATCTTTGATCCATTTTGATTTTAGTTTAGTGCATGGTGAAAGATATGGGTCTAGTTTCAACCTTTGAATGTGGAAAGCCAGTTTTTCCAGCATCATTTATTGAAGAGGCTACCTTTCTTCCAGTGAAGGAATTTGGAACCACTGTAAAAGATAAGGTGGCTAAGTATGTCTGGTGTTAGAAAATCGAATGCTTTGACACACAGGGCACCTTGTGAGAAAGAGTGAATGAGACAGAGGAACTTCTACCTACTCCTCTACTTCTCTTAGTAATATGTTTGAGAAGAACAGAGGAGTTATGGAGTCACATATGTCAGAGTTAGGCTTGAAAATGGAGAGCTTGGATGTTTCAGGCAATGAGTGATCAAAAACCAGAACTGCAAGAAGTGGAGGGAAGGTCTAGGATCTATATCTTTAAACAACATTGTCAGGAGAGAAATCCTCCAGTCTGTGTGGCTGGGAGGTTATAAACATTGTCTTCCAGAGAGGCACATGAACGTAGTTTACTTCTGGAGTGCTGTCAAAGGTTTGGTTTTCCAGAACTATTTTTACCCATGAGATAGCATTCTTCCTGCTCAGGGAGATTAAAGACTACAGAGGTGGGTTAGTGAGTATTATAGTTTGGGGTTTTGCAAGGGGAACAATATAGTATAGGATACATATTTTATAAGATTATTTGTAATAGTCACCCAAAGAATCATATACAAGAGAATGCAGGAAATCTATTCACACACTAAAGACCAAAGAATCCAACTGAGGGCCTGGATCCCATGATATTTTCCTGCATGAGTCCAGCTGAAGACCTAGAGCCCATAACAATGCCCCCCATGAGTCCAGCTGGAGGCCTAGAGCCCATGACAGTGTCTCATGCAGGCCTGTTTCATGGACCTGAGCTGGGAAAGTGCAAAGTTCAGTGGTGGAAGCTAGAAAATCTGTGCCAGCTGGATGAAAGAGCTGTGCTAGTAGGCTGAGGGATCTGCACTGGAGCTGGGAAGCAACGCTCAGAAGAATCAGAACTCCCCTGAAAGGTACCACAGCCATCCTCAGCAACAGTGAGATGTCAAGCTCCTCCAATGTAACAGCCAAACTCCTATCAGGATAGCCAACATAACAAGCTTCTCCAGGAGACTGAGCAGTGCACCATCTTCCCCTCGGGAGCCAGGAAGCGATACTCAAAGTGAGGACCAGAGCTCCCCCCAAGTGAACTGAAGCTATTCTCAGTGACAACAATGTTACAAACTCTTCAGACAATGAGAACAGCTGAGTTCAACAGAAAAGCGAGCGTGATGAGCTCCTCCAACAGAACCAACAGCTCCTTATAGCTTCCAACAGCTCCCAACAGCCTTTCCTCTGCTCCCAACAGCCTCACTTCCCCTCCAGTCCTGCCTCTTCTGCTGCCGGCAACACTCCTCAGGTGGGCCTCCCACACCCAGCACCACGCTGGTTCAGTTCAGCTGGGAGTTACAATATGACCACCAGTTGTCATCCACCACAGTGACCACTTCCAGCCATGGGCCACAACCTACTTGCTGTTCAAGTTGTGATATACTTCTAATACTGAGAATATGCTATTAATCTGAAGTTCCTACCCTGCTTCCTCAATCTGATGTGAAAAGTTTTAAGCAGAACAGTTGTTTTCCAGTTCAGCCCCAGGACCTATGTGTTGGTTTGAGGGATACTGCAAAGGGAAACAATATATACAGGACAATATTTTATAAGATTATTTATAACAGTCACCCAAAGAATCATATACAAAAGAGTGCAGAAAATCTGTCCACATACTAAAGGCCAGAGAATCCAACTGAGGGCCTGGATCCCACAGAAATGTCCTGCATGAGTCCAGCTGAAGACCTAGAGCTCATAACAGTACCTCCCACGAGTCCAGCTGGAGGCCTAGAGTCCATAACAATATCTCATGCAGGCCTGTTTCAAAGATCTGCACTGGGAAGGCCCAAAGGTCAATGGTGGAATCTAGAAAGTCTGTGCCAGCAGAATGAAGGATCTGTGCTAGCAGACTGAGGGATCTGCACTGGAGCCAGGAAGAACTGCTCAAAGTAAGAACCAGAGCTCTCCCGAAAAGTCATCCTCACCAACAGTGAGGCCCAGAGCTCCTCCAATGATCAGGACAGCTGAGTTCCTATCAGGAAAGGCAATGCAGCAAGCTTCTCCGGGACACTGGTAGTGCATCTTCTTCCCCTCCAGAAACAGGAAGCGATGCTCAAAGTGAGGACCAGAAGTCCTCCAAAGTGAACTGAAGCTATTTTCAGTGCCAGCAAGGTCCCAAGCTCCTTGGAGGATGAAAACATCCAAGTTCATCAGGAAAGCCAGCATGACAATGTCCTCCAAAAGAACCAATAGCTCTTTACAGTTTCTACCAGCTCCCAACAGCCTCCCTTCTTCTCCAGTTCTGCCTCTTATGCTGGTGGCAACAGTCCCCAGGTGGGTCTCCCACACCTAGAACCACACTTACTCAGTTCAGCTGGGGGTGATAAGTTGACCACCAGTTGTCAATCCACCACAACCTATAACTCCTATACCTTATTTAGGTTATCTACATGGCCTCTGTGGATATTGTGATATACTTCTAATACTCTAGCATTTCTAATTTCTTTAAGAGACTTGCCCTGATGACACTGGTCTCAAGCCAATAAGTCCCAGGCTCAAAATCTCCAAAGAAGTTATTTGGTTTTAAAGCGAGGGATATTATAGTAGGAAAGGCCAAATGGAAGCCATTAGAGTTGCCTCTACCTGAGAAAATAGTAAACCCCAAATAATATCACATCCCTAGAAAGATTGCAGAGATTAGTGTTACCTTAAGAACTTCAAAGATGAATGGGTGGTGGTCCCCACCACATTTCCATTTAATTCTCATATTTAGCCTGTGCAGAAGATGACTAGACCTTGAAGGAGGGTGAATAACTGTAAACTCAAGTAGTGACTTTAATTTCAGTTGCCATGCCAATTGTGGTTTCCTTGCTTGAGCAGATTAATGTATCTCCTGGTACCTGGTATGCAGTTATTGATTTGGCAAATGCTTATTCTCCACACCAATCCTTAAGAACATCAGAAGCAAGTTGTTTCAGTTGGCAAGGCGAGCATCATACCTTGACCCTCCTGTGTCAGGGATGTATCAGCTGTCCATCTCTGTGTCACAACTCAATTTGCAAGGATCTTTATTGTCTTTCTTTCCACAAGGTATGACACTGATTCATTATTTTGATGATGTTAAGTTGATTGGTGTGGGGAGTGGCTGAAGCTGGAGACTGATCACACACATGGGGCTGGAGCAAGGCCAGTCCCAAGAACAAAGAGCATCACAGGGGAGCCAGGTGAACAAGCTGTTCCAGTTCAGAGAACACCCGAGCAAACAGGTTGCTAGGCAGAGGGGTGTCATGTGACATCAACTTGCCAAGTGTATAAATAAATGGGCTGCAGTCATTGAACCATCCCTTTTCTCTCACCAGGAGAGGGGGCTCCACCTGACCTCAGCTTTCTATATTCTGACTCTTTCTCTATTTCTTCATCCTCCACCTTCCTTTACCCTGACAATTTTGAGAGCTGTGCTGGACGCTGCAGATTGGAGCAAGTGATCAAGACATAGCAACCATTCTGGAATGGTTGTAAAGCATTTACATGTCACCATGTAAAGCACCAAGTAAATGCTTGGTGAAGCATTTACATGTCAGAGTATGGGAAGTAAATCCAACTAACATTTAAGGCCTCTGCCTCTGTG